CCAAGCATTGTACTAGCATAGCTAAGCAACATCACTGCTCCTAGGGCATGATCCAGGTAGCAGTGATTTTACAGGGGACAAGCAGGACTGTTTCTTTCAGCATCATCTTGCACATACATGTCCCCAAATGAAGTGACCATGTAATGATGTCCTGGCTTTCCCCAGAAACAGAAGGAACAGAAACACGCTCTTGAAGAATAGGAGTCTAGAGTGGCTGTTTTCCCAACACCAAGCAAATGTAGTTAGTGTACTTAGGGCTTCTCCCACTCTGTGCTGTATCAGCTTCTAACCTGTAACACACTGTCCAGGTGGATTTATCTGGCTACTTACTCAGCCCCCTCTGTTGCCGATTTTAGTTGGCATTTGGAAGGAGGAGGTGTCTTAGAAGAGATACAGAGGTATGATCAGGCTGAAAATCTGTTCTTCTACTTATAAAATTTATCTCAATGATTACATGCCAGGACCATGTCAGAAGGGACAAGTTTCTGGCCTCTGGATGAACCAGAGTGGTGCAATTTGAATTGCCTTGGAGCTAGACAGGCTGGGGACAGGAGCCTGCATGGAGATGAGAAAGGCTTAAAGTTGCCTTGCTGTCTTCTTGCTGGTAGAACAGCATTACCTCTCTGTTTTTCTCCTAAAGCTGCCAATGCACAGAGAAGATACTGGACTCCCAGATGTCCGAAGAGTGTTCACCATCTGCTCGGGGTGCAGGGTAGCCAGCTCACTGGAGATGTTCCCTGACTCACTTGAAGCCTGGGGCTGCCTTTAGGATGGAGCTCTCTCTTAGCTCCTGGTACTTCTCTAAGTTTCCTGTCCTTTTCAATTAATTCCCTGTGGCAACTAAGGGAGTAAGGACTTATAGAAGGATCCCATATATGGAAAGCTGGCAGGTTTAAAAAAGGAATTGAAAATACAGTGGGAAGTAATCTGTTTTTTTCTAGAGCTAGGTAACACCACTTGAGCATAGATTGCATGCATTATACTGTTTATGAAACATCCCAAGGCCAAGAATATGACTTGGTTTTATTTCTTTAGGCATCAGCTATATTTAGTCAAATTAAAGGAGGGAGGAGGAATGCACTCCAAGAAAATACACAAGCAAAGTTAGACAAAGAAAATTTACTAGTCTAGAGTGGAATGGTTCCCTGTGAGTTATTTCCCCAGTTCTCATTACAGAGCAGTTGGATAGTAAAGTTAGGAGAGATTGTGCTGCTGAATTATGACTGTTGCCGCATGAAGGAACCTCACCTGCTTTATGTGAGCTGTAAAAGAAAATTGATAATGACATTTTAAAGACTTCAAAATATGGGTGGCTTAACAGAGTGGTCTGGTATAACTGCTGCTTTTGCATAATAGAATAGTACAAGAGCTGGTCTATGGCAGATTTAGAGACTTTTCATTTTTTTAGAGCTAGAGAGAGGCTTCAGATTCGCTATTATAAATTATGAACTAAAATAGTAAGTTTGAATTTAAATGCTTTGATGATTTCCTTGTTGAGTTCTTACGAAATCAGTACGTCCCTATGAAGCAGTTGGATTTCATGGAATTGGCAATCCTAACCAGAAAGAAAGAAAATTTAGTGTTTTTTGTTAAAACATAAACTTGCAGGAAAAGAACCAGTTTCAAAATTGTGAGGATGAGTCACCTTGCTGTGCTGGGTTTAAGGCTTGTTAGTTAATGCCCCTTCCAAGCAGGAAGGGTGCAAAAGTTCCAGAGGGTTCTGTGAGCAAGCCTGTGTATTTACAACACATCCTCTGCTCCCATGGTAACTGCTGAAGGATATGAATTTATCCTGGGGCACATTGGGTACCTTAGCTCATCCTGTCATGGAGGGGATGTGAAGCCACCTCAGGTTTACCACGAGGCAGAAGTAGTCAGCAGCAGCCAGCTTGTGTGCAGTAAATCAGAGCCTTAGTTTACTCCTGAGGATTTGCTGATTTATCCATAAGCTAAAATAATTTGGATTTAATTTTTTAACATATTTTCTTTTAGGTCCTTTACTTTCAATTTCTCCTATTGATGGCTAGGTCATTTCTGTGCTTTGCCACCTGTTCTATGGATTTGGCAATTACCCAGTCATGTCCTAGAATTTTTTCTGATGGCTGATGGTTTTGCTGTGGTCACCTAAGGAGACAAGGCTTATCCAGTTGTGGTGTTCCCATCCCTGTCCTGTTTTGAAAACGTGAGTGTGAAAGGTAGGAAGGGAGGATAATCTTCCTGTTTTCCACCATGAGGCAATAGAAATTGATTATCTAGCCCTTTTTTTCTGTAATTTCTTAGTTTTTGTGGCTACAAGTCATGTAATTCAGGCTGTTCTCAGTGCTGCAATGGTCTCTGTACAACAGCCAATCTTACATCCTTCATGGGTGACAATGCACCAAGTGGAAAGCTGGATTTCAGGGTGTAATTCCAAATTCCTTGAACTCACACAGGTTTTAATTTGGCTTCATGTTATTTGCAGATTTATTTTTTTTTGTGTGATTTAATTGAGTAGTCAGTGTGAATTTTGTGGTGTTCGTGTGTATGCAAGTGAGAGGGAGATTTTCTAAGTGTTCAGTATTCACATGGACATAAACAGGTGGGTTTCCAGCAGAGACATTTGCATTTGAAAACCTGCTCTAAAAACGGGCTGGGCTTTCCCAGGAGAAGCAGCACCAACAGTGAAACGCAGCGATCGATCAGCATAGAATTGTGTGAGCATTTGATGGGCAAAATGTTGTGGTATGAAGACAGGGCCCAAGAATAAGCTCTTTGTGGCTTTGTTTCATTCCTGAAAACTGTGACTGAGAGGCTTTTATCATTTTAAAAAAATTAATCAGCCACATTTTTGTCTAACTTGGAAAATATTACAAGATATCCCTTGCAACATTCTAAGTGCTGTTTCTTTAATCAGATTTTGATACTAAAAAAATCGTTTCTCATTTGTCTGCTTATATTTCCTCAACTCTAAAAGTAAAGTAATATTTGAACCAGTCCTTTCAGTCACAGAGCTGTAAGCATGTAATTTAGTGTACATAACATTAAACTCTTTGAGGCAGCTTGCATTCACTATGTTTTCTTTCTTTCCTAATTTTAACTAAGGAAAACATTCCCTTACTTATCACAGCACTTCTGTTACATGCCTCATTTTTCTGGCTAAGTTCCTTATGGTAATTATGGTTTATTTTAATTCTTAATCAAATGAGCTGTCCAGGAAATTAATCTGAAAAAAACCATATATAATAAATGCTCAAACCCACACCAATGGGGACACCCAGTGGAGACACACTGAGTTGCCCAACATTACAGCCAGGAGCGGGCCAGTAGCTCCTCATCAGGGAGAGGACTGCAAATATTTTTAACCACAGCAGTTCTGAGGGAGCTCTCAGAACTGCTGCTGAGGGCTCCCTTGTAGCCTCCTGCCTTTGCTGCCCTTGCACGAGCCTGTGCTTGCCATCATGGTGGTCCTGATGCACAATTCTTGTAATGGGGTGTGCAAACACCCAATTCTTTGGTGGTGTTGTTTAATGTGACTGGGAGTGAGTTGCAATTCCTGGCAATTCAAAAAGTTTTTCTCTTGCTGTTGCAGATGCTGCCGTGTTCATCTATTAGCCCTGTAGATGTTTAAGGGGTGCCCTGTTGCGATATGTTTGGAAGGTGATGTGGGAAGGTTAGGTGAAGCTCAGAACCATGGGGAGGGCACCTCTTTGAATTAGATCCTGCTCCTGTAGCATGGGAGATGCTCCAGTCTCGATAGACAGCAACTCAAATAACCGCTAACGTTTTCCAGTCTGCACTGGAATTCCTAATCCTCTTCCAGTGGGCAAGGCCTCCTTTCCTGCTGAGTTCTAAGTGTGGCCTTGGGAGAGACCACAGCAAGGACAGCAGCCCAGACTGTCTTCATGGATGAGCTTGGTCAAGGAGAGGGGCACTGGGACTGCCACTGACTTTGGAAGCAGGCAGGCAGTACTCAGTTCATCCTTGGGGCACTATACCTATCTCAGAGGGAAAAATGTGGATTCCGGTTTGTTTATTTATATATACAATAAAGCTCTGCTTGGACAAGCACAGGACCCAAGATAAAGGCAGTCAACTAGGCAGCATTTCCACACATACTCTGGGAACTCCATGCAAATGGAGCGTGCTTTAATTGCTGTGAATGTGGTCATGGCTGGTTGTTTTACTTCTAGTTCACTCAGAAAGCAAGCATTAGCCTTTCCTGTGATGGGGCAGCATCAGACAGATGGGTTCTGGTGTGCCTTCTGGCATGCACTAGCTGTGGAACATGGGATTATCTGGGGTTTTGTCTTTCTAAGTAGAAGAGGAAAAGAAAGGAATGCCTGCCTTGTTTTGATGCAGTCTGTTCTGACATAGAATGAAATTTATAGCCTATTTGTTTTCTCCTTGTTTGGGAAAGAAGAAACATATTAATTATAATTCTGCACCAGAGCCACCCAGACAACTGGGAGAGAGTGATTTTGACTTACACTATCACAAGTTGGGCAGCAGAATTTTTATTAGATATAGCATGGTAGTATTTGCGTTTAATTCAGATTTGAGAATATCTTCTCTGTGGCAAATTAAGAGTGTGAATTGCTGTGGCAATGGGCATCCAGTATGGCCTGCTGACTTTCGATGCCTTCTCAAAAAAGAAGTATATAGTACATGATATATATACATATATAATAGTACATGAGAGACAGGCTAATTTTGTTTGCTAATATTCCTGTGTTGGGCTTAATATCAAAGCAGGACAGTGTTTTTTTTGCTGCAGGACTCAAGAGTGGACAATTTTGAAATCAGTGTTGAATTCAGATGGCTCAATGAGATTCCATTCCTGTTTCAGGTGGTTCAGAGGCTCAGCAGAGCTGGCCAGGGGCAGTCACTGTGAATAGTCACCAGTGATTGTCCCAGCCCAGGCCAGAGGTCCCTGCCTGGCAGCAGTCAGGAGCAGCTGCCAACAGATGGAATGTTCTAGCAGACTTCACAGACTAAATATTTCTTGTTTCTTGTCCTTGCAGAGAACACCTTTTGCAGTGGTGACCATGTGTCGTGGCACAGCCCTTTGGACAACAGTGAGTCTCGAATCCAGCACATGTTGCTGACAGAAGACCCCCAGATGCAGCCGGTGCAGACTCCTTTTGGGGTCGTTACTTTCCTACAGGTACGGCCCAGCCAAGATGGCTCCGACTGCCACCTCCTGGGCATGGAGAGCAGCTCAGATTGCTGCCAGTTGACCTGTGTAACTCACATATTTATTATCCTGTCTTCAGTTTCAAACATGAACATTGAAAAAAAATTGAGAGTGTGAGAGAAAGTGTTGAGAGAAACACTTTAAAAAGCTAATGTAAAAATAAATGAAAATAAATTCCATGGTAATATTGCTAAGTGATCCACTGGCTTGAATGCCAGGAAGAGAAGAGTTTGAGCAGAATTTGGAGCTGTTTTACCAGTACTTAATGGCAGAAATGTAGCTTGCAGTACTGACACAAAGATTCTTTAGAGGCTGAGTTTTCCTGTATTGATCTACTGTTTAAGAAAGGTTTGGGTTTGCTTTGCAAAGGAAACGTTAAAAGAAATCCCTTGTGATTTAACTCTGCTGTTCAGCATGGGGAGCTTCTGTGGCCAAACAGGTTTGCTTGCTTTCCCAAAGTCCTTCTTAGCAATGCTTCTCAGATAGGGGCTGCTTTGGATATTTTTAAATTGCATATTGGGTTAATAACCTTAGTGGAAGAGTGGTATAGTTTATGCCAACTGCTGATTTCTTCATGCTCCTTGGAAAAGCTTCCATCCTGTGGGAATATGCAAGTGCCTGTATTTTACAATTTAAGCTTCTAGTTGCTCCCATTGCTCGTTGGCTATAGTTGCAACATGTAAAAGGAAGTTCTGTTGCCACAAACCTGCACAAGACAACTGCTGTGCAAGGCTTTTCTGAGGTGCCCAAATGTCTATGTTTTATCAACATAAACAAGGTGGGTGTGAGATTAATTAGTGCAAGGTGAGTTGTGGGACCTGGAAGGAGAGACAGAGAGCCAAGCTAAACAGAATAATCCCTGGCTGACTCTCCAGCTAATACAGTGTTAGTCCTCATCTCTTCTTTAGTGCCCAGCTGTCTTGAATCAAAGAACAGTCAGCTGGCTGCATCCTGAGGCTCTTGGCCTCTAATCTTCCACAACACATACAGTTGACTTGGTTTTCCCCTTTGTTTGATGCTTGTTGTTATGAATTTATTTTGACCCATGAGGATGAATGATTACAAAAAGCAAACAATGAACACAAAATAATTTCCTGTTTAGAGTCTTGCTGTTTGTATGTAATTAGTGAGTGAAGGCCCAGGCAGGGTTGTCCTGAAGCAGGGATGATTCAGGCTGTTGATGGAGGAAGCCTGGAAGATGGGTGGGGGTGAAGTGCATCTCCAAGGGCTGGATCCTGACAAAGTGAATTCTGCAAGGGGCAGGAGAGGTAGGGTGTGCAGAGCTGGGTGCGTGCTGACATGAGAGTTTTCCATGTAGATCTCTATCAGGGCAGTTATGTGCCTACAGCAGAAGGCACATCCTTCACTCTGCTTGCTGCTCTTCAGAGCTTAGTTTTCAGTTTTCCTCTTTTTTGATAAAACATCAGTTGAACAGATTTTGACGGAAAATTCAGTGCTGTTGGAAAAGACTAAGAAGTACTGAGGAAGAAAATACAAGGCAATAGCAAAAATTATTTTTCATCTCAGGGTGAATCACTGCTCAAAGGCACAAACCACTGGTTGATACAGCAGGAAGAAACTGCCTTCTGCTATCAGCTGAAGGGTGTTTCACCCCTTCTTCATTTGAAGCAGCTGATCTTAGCTGCTGTTATAGAGGCATCTGGTATTGCTCAGTGTGGCAGCTCCTATCCTGAAAAGCAAACATATCCTGCATTATACAGGAAGGCAGAAGTCTGCAGTTGCCTGCAGTGACAAGTGGATTATGTGGTGTGCAAGCAGCTTTACTTTATGGTGCTGGGTGAGATGTAACCAGTCAGCAAACTGAGTTGGTCAAGGATTTTTTGAGCACAAAAGCAAGTCCCTTGACTGGTTGAGATTGCTTGTGCAGTATTGCATTTGCCCCTGGCAATCAGTTGACAGTGTTTGCATGTGCTCAGACCCTAATCTGTCATGCTCTGTCCTGTCTGTGTGGACTTGATTGAAAAGTCAAACAGACTGATTTGTCACCAGACCCTCTTCGTTGTTAAATTCACACACTCTTTACAAGATTAAATGTTACATGACCAGAGCACTTCACATGGTAAGTGTAGAGAGAGAAAACAAGGTCTTGTGGGATCCCACTGTTGTCTTAGGCTCCATTTGTCCTGGCATATCTAGTTAGATTAAAGAAATGGTGCTTCTCTGATTGTGCACTGTTTGATCCAGTACCACATGGCACATTTTCTCCACAGTTCTTTTGTTGTTCCCACCAAATTTAGTATGTCTGTTGTTATTTATTACAGATTGTTGGGGTTTGCACTGAGGAACTGCATGCAGCTCAGCAGTGGAATGGTCAAGGGATTCTGGAACTGCTTCGGACTGTCCCGGTGTAAGTGGTCACATAGCCCATATAGGGGAGCATTTTGATAGAGAGCAATTCAGTTGTTTATTTGTATTAACAATCTTTAACTTGTTGATGGAACTTATTTAATCTGTGCTGTAGCAAGAGATGGGAATTCATTGCAAATCTGTTCTCACGCACAGACACTTAGATGGCAAATTAATGCATGTGGAAGTCCACATGTTCAGGGTGAAAGAGAATGAGGTCTTGAAAGCTTAATTTCCTTCCTCTTATGCCTGCAGGGTTTTCTCATTGGTTCTTCCTGGGATAACTGTTACTGGTGACCTTGCTGTTTAGTTCAAAGAAAGGAAGGAGAGGGTCTGGCTTACAAAACTGTCTGGAAGTACTGTGTGAAAGTGAGAAAGTCACTCTCACACTTGGCCCACTCTTGGTGGGCCAGTTTGCAGCAGGAGGAGTGTTCATTACAGTGAAGTTCATTGTTTTGCCATGGGAGAAATAACAAAGATGATGTTGGGTTGAGGGAGGGATGGGTTTTAAATGGTAAATGATATGTTGATGTTTTGTTTGCTGCCAGGGTGCAGCTAAATCTTTTTGGCTTGCAGGTATTTTGCTTAAACATTTTTAAATTCAGTGGAAGCTATTGCCTTGTGATTGTAACTTAAAAGGCTTACTTTTTAAAGCAAAATAGTTCTGAATATTTGTTTCTGGGCACAGTAGTACACTCTCTAGTGTCACAATAGCCTTGAATTGATTGATTATTTGGAAGAGCTGGACATTTTTAACTTGAACTTCTCCCTTTTAGACACAAGTGCAGATAATTCATGCAAATGCCCTAGAGTAGAGTGAATTTGTCCAGCTGCAAGCTTTGTTTCTGGGTCTCTGAGACAATAAACACTGCCAGCAGCTCCCTTAGTTCCTCTAAGTCAATACAGATACAGCACCTCTCTCACTCTATTCTCATGTTGGTTTTTGGCTTTTGTACTGTGGTATAAGCACCTTTGCAAAGAAAAAATGAGACTCAAATGTGCATAATTTGAAGGCAAAACTGCAAGCTGCTAAGCCGTTGATGTGGAAATGGGGTAAAAGTCTCTTGCCTCTCCTCTTCCCAGTGAGGAACTGTGGCAGGTCACACCCCTGCAGTTAATAATTCACAACTTCCAAAGAAATGTGAAAAAACGAGTGGCTATCCATGCATCTGAAAACCTGTAAAATATTAACTTGTTTTGCTCCCATTCTTAAGTGTTTTGGAGACTAACACAAGCTAGGCCAGAGGAGGGGGCTTTTGACTGCAATAACAAAGTATCTCATGAAAAAAATTAATTTTTTATGGTAGTTCCAAAAGACTTCAGTTTTTACTTCAAATGAAAAGCACTATCTGAGACTGACTTCTGCAGTCTGGCTGCACTATGACCCAAAGTGAAGTCTCTGAGTATTTCATCTTCACAATAATCTGTTTTCTATCACCTTTGTTGGGGAACACCTTGAACCTTCCAACTTTTATTGCTAATGATAACAAAGATTTCCCTGAACCATCTGAGCACTTGGCCATTAAGTACCAACTGACCAAAATGTCTGTTGTGATAATAGTTATCAGAGCAATAAGCTCTTTGTGGTACTGAATGTGACTGCCAATCTTGCCAAAAGTGCAGTTCCACTGGGACCCTGCTCTATTCTTAGATATGTAATAGAGGAATAAATCTTGACTCCATCCCTTGCCCATCTTTCTTTTACTCAAACTGGACTTCACAGTCCCAGTTTGTTTCCTGTAAAATTAAACCCCATCTCAGTCTTGTGTGAGCGAGGGGGCCTGCACAGGGTATGACAGCCTGTGTCAGTCCTGACTGCTGTGCATGTCTGGGTGGTGCCAGACACTGAGCAAATTAACTGCTAGGTCATGGAGAGCTTTTATTATTTATTTATTTGGAAAATGTAAAGGGCAGATGCATGCTTTGGGGTGTATACACCACACAGAGGGGTTTCTAGGCTGATTTTAAACCCTTATCTTGTGCTTCCTTATAGTACAGGTCCATTCTGAGGACCCTGCTGGAAAGTTGTAATTAAAGGGCTTGTTTGGTTCATTACCTGTCTTTCTTTGTAGAGCTGGAGGTCCCTGGCTGATAACAGACATGCGAAGAGGAGAGACCATATTCGAGATTGACCCACATCTGCAAGTATGTCTTTAGTTTATAAAATGTCATGTCTCTTGTAGTAGCCAACTGTTATAAAACAGTTCTAATATTTTCTGTAAAGGTGCTTGGATCTTTTCAATGTTTGTAATAATCCAGGAAAAGTCTTAGAAACTCTTTGCTCTCTTTAGAGGTGGTTCAAGAGGGACGTGTCCAGCGCCACATGAATGGCAACTCTAGGAAGAAAGATAGAGAAGGGAGACCAGGAAAATGTAATCTCCTATAGGACACAATTGGTAAAATTTGGACTGGATGTTTTAGAAAGGAGGAAGAAAGAAGATGAAAGACATAGAATGGTACACCAGAAAATTCCTCCTTTCTTTTATATGCAAGTGTAAGGAGACATAACATGCAGAAAACTCAAAACTAAGTGCTATTTTTTTCACAGCAAATGTGACAGTGTAGCTCATTCCTGTGGGATATCACTTGGGGCCAAGTAGTTGGTGTGGATTGAGAAATGATAGGAACCCAGAATGCAGCTGTTAATAATCCATACAGGAAGAGATATTAAACCTTCTTCTTCAGAGTTCAATTTAATTTTTGAAATTTAAAGATAAGAATAGGAGAGATTACTGTACTATGGACTTCTCCTGATCCATGCATTTGGGAGACAGTTCTGCAATCCTTTCAGCAGATCTGGAGTACATGGGTCCCCAGCAAATCCAGTGTGGTGCTGGCCATGTTTCAGTGAATCACTGATTATTTGCCTATAACAGAGAACTTATGGCTCAGCCTGGTAGGGCACGTGCAAATGTGCATGTTTTGTACAAGCATTTGCTTATGGTCTGCATGTCTGTATCTGATTATTCTCAGTTGCCTCACAGCATCTTTTACTTTGAAAGCATAAAAACAAAACCAAATTCTACTTTTACTGGTTTTAAGGATTTGTTCATCTAGAATAACCCCAGTCTGAGAAACACAAAAAAATGTTCCACAAATGTTCCACAATATGGTTGCTAATACAACTGAAAGTCCCATAAAGTTTTTAGACTTTCCAGAATCTTGCCCTCTCCCCTCCTGGGTGTTTCTGTTGTCTGCACACTGGTGATTCCTAATGATAACAAGGTTTTCTTCAATTTACTGTAAATGAAAAATAGCTCAGCTTACTGGAATCTGAGTCAGCCAAGGCAAGTTAAGGCAAATAAAAAGGTACCTCTGCCTCACCAGTGTGTCCTGCTGCTGAAAGCTGCTACGTCTGTGGTCCTTCCGGACTTCTTCACATTGAACACATTCCTGTTTCTGTTCTCTCTTGCCCTTGCAGAAGTGCAGATGGGCAGGTGTGTGTTTGCACACCTCCCTGCTGCTCTGCTGCTGCAGCCCCCAGGGATTCATAGAGCAAAATCCACCCCTGAATCCCACAAAGAGCCTCTGCTGAGTGCAGGGAGTAAGGCTGTGCCAGGTTGCCTTCAGCCCTGTCTTGTGCCTTCTGCTCTAATTAGTGGGGAAAGGATAAAGTGTCATTTTCTTGGTGTTGGTAGAGGGTGTGTGAGACCACAAAGGCAGCAGTGGAAGAGAGGTGGAGGGGAGGGAGGGAACAGGCAGAGAAACTGGACAACTTTCTTGGGAGCCAGCAAGCATGTTGTCTGCCTGGGAAGCAGGCAGAGCTTGTTTGGAGGCTGCATTGTGTCTTGTGGGAATTGGTTGAGGCCTAAACCCAGCCCTGGCAGCAGCAGCTGTACTTTCTGTTCGGAGTTGCTGAGAATGGATCCCAACTAAGATGTCATCCCAGGATGTCGGCAATTAACACTGTGGCAACGCTGGCTGTTTTCTGTTCAGCCAGGCTTCCCTGTAGGCCATTCAGATTTCCCTGGCAGCACAGTCAAACAATTCCTGTTGGTCCCCAGCTCTGTGCTGATTCTCAGTGCTTTGCTTCTGTTTAGCAGATATCTCAGAAGAGAATAAAGCTGATTTGAATTTCCTGAGTTGTGGTTGCTGCTCTGCAGGTCACACTGCAGTGCTCTGGCTCGTTTAAAAAGGGATCAATGACTTAGAGCCTCAGAGCATCCCGCCCACATGCTGAGAGGAAAATGGGACAGAAATATCCTTTCTTTGAGGAAGGAAAGCTGAACCTCCTTTGCCCTGGGCTCCTCCAGCCTCCTGTTCATGCTGCCCTTTCAAGGAAGGAAGAACAACTCCTCAGACCAGGCAAATCTTTGCTGGCTAAAGGTGGGGTTCAACTGGGCATTGCCAGAGCTATAAGTCTACACCGATTGGGGTTTTTCTGACTTTTCCCCTTTTAACATCAATACTTGTAAACATTATGAAACAGGCATGCAAATTAGGCTGCCTTAAGCCAGTTCCGTTTCCATCAGCTCCCCTTGATCTCCAAGGGATGCCAACAGAGCAGCACTTCTTCCCCTGAGGAAGTGCTCTGCAAGCCAGCTGAGCTGCAGATGAGAGTCCTTCCCCCTCCCCAAGGCTCTTCACTGTGTCCGTGGGGTCTGGCTGTGAGTGGGGCCCTGGCTGCAGGGATGGGGGAGCAGTTCCCACCAGAGCCTCACAGCCCTCTGGCCTCTTCTCCCTGCTCGAGAGCAAGTTTGGTGGCTCTCCCATGCTTCCCCAGTTACTGGGATAAAAAATAACTTCGCTGACAAGCTACACCACCCCATGCCAGCTCATTTGGGTCTTCACAGAACACCATGGAAGGTTCCCAAAGAAGCCACGTGCTAAATCTCACTTAGAGCATTGTCTGCATATGTAGGAACGGATGTATTTTTATTTCTTTCCCCACAACTTCTATTTCTGGGTGACACAACTAATTTTATGTTTAGGATAAAACAAAAGAAAATAACAGCAGATTTATTATTTCTCAGATTTTCCTATTATGTTTTCAAGAAGCCAGTTTCCCCTGATGCTGAAGGAAGATCCTAACAAGGGGAGAAAAACAGAAGAAAGGCAGTTGCTTGAATGCTTAAGTCTAAGTCAAAACTGCTGTGGTCCTGCACTCAGCCACAGGCTCCCACTTCAATTTTGGGCCCAAGAGCGGGTTTTGGGAGATGATCCAGATGAAAAAAAAAATAGTGTTGGCTCAAGGGAAGGGATAAGAGCACACGGAGGAGGGTGGGACTGCAGTCATTGCAAATTACATCAACTTAAACCGCTGTGCAACCACACCCTGAATGCTTGTGCTTATCTTTGAGCTGCTCAAATCCTCTCTTGAATGGTCACAAGAACAGGCAATGCTCTTCCCAGGGTGCAGCGTGCACAGCTGGGCAAGGGGAGGGATGTATGTTGGTTAAGTCTGGAAACTGTTTCTTGGGGACAGGTTTTGCAAACAGCAAAATGTTCGCACAGTCTCTTATCTTCAGTAGCAGTGTCAAACCAGAGGGTACTTGGAGTGGCGATATCCTCTCCCACTGTGTATGACACCACTCTGCTCTCTCCTCAAATCTTTGAAGTTTCTTGGGACTGCCTGCGTTTCGAGGTGACACAGATGTATGCAGAGAGATTGCAGATCATGGTGGTGCTACTGAACAGTACCAGAGGCAATACCCCTTCAGAAAAAGGGGGAAGCAAGCCTGGCTGGTTCGGTGCCAGGGAAGAGGTGCCAGCCCTTCCTCGGTGTAGCATAGCCCTGAGTTTGTTCGGCTCAACATTACCCCCTTGTGGGTCACAGGTGGAAATTCAGACTGGTGCCATGTCCAAGAAGGTGGAACTTCCTGAAGTTTTGTCTGTAACTTAAGGCAGTCTTGCTGGCAGCAGATGCACATGTCCTTGAGAAAATGACTGGTGCCTGAGAGCATCCAGCTGCTTATGACTGGTGTGTGACACCTTCTGAGACCCAAACACTGGTTACGTGCTTGGAAAGTCCAGCTTGCAAGGGAGGGAATTTGTTTATTTTCCAATAGAGAAAGCTATGCAAAAGCTTTGACATTGGGAACAGACCTGTGTCTCTTTGCACATCCAAACTTGTATGTTTGTCCTTTATGGGATACCCCAGCACATTGGAAAGCAGGGATTCTCTGGGCAGTTTTTAAATTAAGAACCTATGTGAATGATGAGTCTCTCTGTGAGCTGTTTTCATTGTGGGACTCTTTGGTAAGGTTGGTAGAGCACTTTAGTTATTCAAGGGTTTGTTATCATTGACATATAAGAGGTTGACTGCCAAGCTGTGCTTCGTGCCTTAAATATTTCAAGTTGGTGTAAATCACTGCTAACACTGAAAGAAGCAATCCTGCACACCCCAGGCCATTGATTTCCACTTTTCTCTCCCCCTGCTTTGTGCCTGTCAGGGCCATGTAGTGAAGCAGTGGGGACAGGGTGGGATTTCAGACCAACTTGATATGGAAAAGGTTTGTTTAGTTCAGAGTGGCTTCCTGATTTGGCTCAATGTGCAATTGCTGTTTGCTGACACAGCAAAGCACAGGGTCCAGAGAGTGGAAATCGGCCACAAAAGGAGATCTGCAGGAGCTGTTGAAGGTTGGGCTGCGCCATGGTGGTTCCAGCTCAGGCTTAAGCCACGCTCAAAAAAAAGTCTTGGTGTTTTGAATCTTTTCAAGCAGGAGAGAGTTGACAAAGGGATTGAGACAGATGGCTCAAACCTGAGTGGAGTGAGTGCCAAATGTGCCTGGGATGACCTGAGCCGGCCACCAGAGGATGATGAAGACAGCAGGAGCATTTGCATTGGGACCCAGCCTCGGCGGCTCTCTGGGAAAGGTAAAAGGTCCTGGGCCAAGTTGCCATCGCGGCCTTTCAGCTTCTGTTCTGGTGGGGCTGGGCAGTGCACTGAGTCATGCTGCATCCTCGAGTTCATTACAAACTCCACAGTCATTGGGAGGTTTGGTGTGTCTCGGGGCAGCAAAAGGGATTTTGGTCTCCTTGAAGAAGGCAGGAGAGAGGAAAAGAGTTCTTGGCACTATTTTGTCTAAACGTTTCTTTCAGTTTTTAGGCAAATTGTAATCTGAATCTGCAAAGTTAAACTGAGCACCTGCTGAAACCAGGACTGTAAACACCTGCAAGGTGTAGCAATTTCATTTTCCCAGGCTGAGTTTCCTTATTAACATTATCCCTTCTTGGGAAGTAAGTTGGACTGATGCTGCACATTGCTGCAGCTGAACTCAAGGAATTTGTGCAAATACAGAACTCTATAAAGAAGGATTAAAAAACTGTGGAGTTTCTCTTTGCAGTGAGATGCCTTCTCAAGGTAGAGATGTCAGCCATTACACAGGTTTGAAATTATGCATATTACTTTTCAAATGGTTGAAACAGCATTAAATTTGAGGGCTTGAGATTTCCTGGAATTAACAACGGTTTCCACAGGAATGGCATCTGTTCTTGAATCCATGGTAAAAATTAGTTAAATGCATACAGCATTTTTTCTGGCTTCTGTGCAAATATTTTTAACTGCACTGGATCTAAAAAGGCTGTTTTGCCTCACCCTTGAAATTAAAAGCCCAGGAGAGGTATACATGATGAAATTTGTGTATCCTTCAAAAGATTTTAAAATAATTTGAGAGGGTTTTTTTCTACCTAATTCTCATATTTCTCAAAAATAGATGAGGAAACTTCTAAGAAAGGCAGGAAAGCTTCCTATTGAAAGTATTTGGCCAGTAGACATTTCAGAAAAAGGCGGAAGTAAAAAGACTACATCTGAACTGCATAATTTGCAGCTTATTTTCAGATGTGAGCTTGAGGCTAAAGGTTGGCCTGCATAAAAATCCCTCCCTTTGTGAATCTTGTTGTAAATTAATCAACAGATTTCCAAAGGCAATTGCAAAAAACTTGGAAACCTTCATACATTAATTTGGGAAAGGAACAAATTCCTGTTATGCCTAATGGGAAAAATTATTTCTAGTACAAAAGTTTGGAAGTGTCAAGAGGTTCTATGAGAGTTACAGAATCAAAAAAACACCTCATTTATGAACAATTATAAAACTACTCAGAATTTCTTCATAAGGAGGACTCAGTACCAAAGATCCCAGCTCTCCTTGACTGACATAACAATGAAGCCCAAACAAGGGAATTCAAACTGACATTATAAAGTGAAATAACTCTTAAGGAAGTTCAGGAAGTGCAGTTAAGTGTTACCTCATAACATTTCTACCCTTCTTTCTGAAGGGGAAGAGTTTAGCTGAGACACACCTGATAGCTTCTTGTGTCTGTGTTGTTTCTGAGGATTCTAAATCATGTTTAAAAATATTCTCTTTGCAGATACAGAGCAAATCAGGGAGACTTTGCGGAGAGGGCTTGAAATTAACAGCAAACCTGTCCTACCTCCAATCAATGCACAAAGACAGAATGGGTTGAACCTCGACCGAGCACCGTGAGTTTCACCCTACACGTTCACATGTTGGCAGAGGGACGCTAAATAGCTCAGCATGGAAAACAAAAGTTAAAGTTGGGTGGGAAAAGACTTGGCAAGGGGAGAGGAAAACTGGCAGTGAACACTTGCAAAGTGCAAAGATAGGGGGAGAAGAGTTATTCAGGTTGGATAAATGGTCTAGTAGTCAGGAGGGCAGCTTTTTAGAGGGGTTTTGAACAAACTGTGCTAATGCAGAGTGGCTCTGACTGTTCTGTAGAACCTGCTGTTCATGGTTTTCAGTGTTTGAATTCAGACTGGAGTGATCCCTATAAAAAGTACTATGCTGAAAAGTGCTATGGTATCAGTAAAGATACGTGGCATAGGTGACAGCTGATATTTTTTCCAGAGTATTTTGTTTTCAAGCTCATAATTGCAAACCTTTTGATTAAAATGTTGACTTTTTTCTTTTTTTAATTGACTTTGATCTTGCCTTTTTAAAACAGGTGGGTTCTGTCAGTAATTACATGCCAATAACACCTGGGTCTCTAATCGCAGTAGTCTAACAGATGATTTAAGTGGGACTAGGGTGCCCCATTGATCTCTTTTATAACATTTGACTTAAGTGAATCTATAGGAAATTACCTGTGGTTTCAAGCCGTCTATAGTATCTGCACATCTGTCTTTCTGGCTTCTCCCCTTCCCCTCTTCGACTTCAGGTGCTAGTTCAGTGCCTTCCCATCAATTTTAATGTTTTCATCTAAATTATACAGAAAGACATGCATCTTTGCTGCAGTATTTCTTCTTGGTATTTCCTTTGGTTTCTTAGTCTCTGATGAACATCTCTGCCTTCCACTTTCAAGAGTAAAGAGCATCATGAAATCAGCACTTCCCTGTAGTGCCAGGCAGGGACAGCACCCTGGTCCATTTCAATTCTCATTTCATTCTTGATTCAAACATTTCCTGACAAAAATATTTCTTGTTGTTGTCCTTGTTCCATTTTGTGGGTGACTTCCGATTTGCCAAATAAATGAATGTTTGTGAGTTGCCTAATCTTTTGGGGGAAGTATTATGTGTCAATTGCTGATTCTTTTAGCTAATATGTAATATGAGATATAGGTACTTATATTTAAAAAAATCTCAAGTGACTATTATTGCTTTAGGAATAATCTTACTTTTGCCATATAGTAATTATACGGAGTCAAATTCTGATCTGACTCAGGTTTTGAGTAGTATTTCTCTGCCTGCAGGTTGGTCACATTGGACCATTGGTTGGTCCCACTGGCCCCACTGAAAAAAATAAAAAATTATACCATGCAATTTGCACAAATCACACCCAGCCTTGGAGAGCTCAAAAGTACTGGGCAGGATTTCTCACAGATGCTGGGCTCCTGCATGCATCTGCTTGCCCAGTGTAAGCTCTGAGTCCTCAGTGGTTGAGGGTGACCACAAACATTTTGGGTGCACATCAGGTCAAGGAGGCAGCTGATGGGTAAACCTTAATGCTGGGAGGCAGTTGTTGCTTAGATAAGAGAGCTTTACATTATTCAGGGTGAGATAAACAGAGATACATTTGAGACAGAGTGGTGAAAGGTTAGCAGGGCTCTAAGATGAGGCACACAAATATTTACCTGGGTTTTTAACTGTTCTGAGACAGAAGAAGGCAGGTCAAATTCAGGGCCTCACATCTGTGACAGTGCTCTTTGTTGCAAATCTCTCTTACCTACAGCAGCTGCACACTCACCCTGCCTGAAGCCTGAAGGGTAGGTATGGCTGGTTCCCAATGTTTTCTCCTAGGAGGTCAATACATTTCTCTGAGGTCTGTGGTTACCACTGGGGAAACTGATAAGTCGCCTGTTTTTCCATAAGCACTTCAGTTAAGGAAAGACAGCTATCAGCTCTGTTACTGTGGTGATACTATTGGAGGGATCGGGAAATCTCCGCTTAGAACAGCAGTGTGTCCTAATACTTTCTTCCTCCATCTTACTAGCTGCTTTGAGAGGAGTTTGGGAAAGGTCTTTTTCTCCTTGTGCAGTTGCTTCTCCTCTCCATGTAGCAGATGCAATGGGACTTGTTCAATGCATTGACCATACCAAAAGGGGTGGTTTGTGCTGGAAAGCAGTGTTTGCTTACAACCTCTGACTAACTAGTACTTAAATCAGACCTGATGATTACTCTTACTGTGGCTAAAACTGATCAGTCAACACATTTTCCAGAACAGCGTGGTATAGATGAAGCAGAAGAGGAAGATCTTGTTATGTCTCCGTCTTCCTTAATACACTGTCTCAGCATGTCTCATGCATTTGAGCAAAATTGCTCAATGTGCAGTAAGTACAAGAGCATGATAAGGAGACTCTCATCTCCAGCTGCTGCACAGGAATGTAACTGAGGAGCTCAGCTTTTGCATGTAGTAATGTATCTACATCCATGTTCCCTCCAGGTACCTGCAGGGGTAAAGGCTGAGACACAAAAGGCACAAACCCAGTGCAAATATAACTCTTTCATAGGACTTCTGAGCACCTGAGATGAAGGACATTTCTGTACATAGATCTAGTCCTTCTGGTGCAATCCTTGTTTGCATTGCTTGGGCCTGGTAGGACTGGGACTCAGGTCTGTCCTTCGCTGTAAATCTTGTGTAATCAAAGGCAAGTAATTTAGCTATTGAGCTTCAGTTCTGAATCTATAAAATGGGACTAATAACAATGTCATCTTCTTGAGGCACTGCAAGGATAAATATGTTAATGATTACGAGGTGCTGGCTGATGGGAAGCAGGCTTGTGTGTAATCATATCCTGCACTGTACACACCAGATCATAAAATATCAAACCTGTGGTTCTTTGCAAGAGTCCTGTGAATAACTAGTGTATTAGAAGTTCTTTAGGAACTTGACAGAAACACTCTCTTGGGGCATGGCAAATTGTTTAAAATCTGCTTTCCATAGGGCGCACTGCAGAACTCCAGGCTGTCAAATTTGGACCCAACTGACAGTAGGATGTAAAGTCTGACACAGACTCTAAGGGCTTTATGCAGAAGAGGAATGTGCTGTTTATTTATCATGGATTTGCAACCACCAACTGCTTTCCTAGTAGCTTTCTTCCCTTTCTTTTATCCTAACCCTACCACCCACACACAATAATCTATCAAGGTTTAAAGCAGACAACCTGTTCTGCATTCAGCATCACAAATAGTATCAGAAACGCTCAAGCTTTTGAATATTTATTTGTATAAAATGTAGAGGATCCAGATTCTGTATAGATTTCCCAGTCTTTGTATAGTTACAGTTTTCAGTGCTTATGCAAAAACCTCATATTATTTGGTTGCAGATAGGGCTTGATTCAGTGTTTTGGCTCCAGCAAAGCATATACTGACATGTTAAGCATGCATATTACCAGTTGTTCACTGTCCCAGAGTCCTAAAAAAATGTTCCTTTGAGAAAAAGCTGGTTTCTGTCAAAACCCTGCTGGGCAGCTGTAGTACTTTGATTCATTAGTGTTATTACCGTAGACTGTGTAGCCCTTTTTCTCCTAAGGATATGAATAAAAGCACACTTAAAGCTTAAAACTGCATTGGACATCTGTTTCTCAAAATGACTGTTGGCTCAGTTCATAAGCAGCCATTAAATCAGTTTGTACGTATTAACAAAAGAACACGTGAATTAATCTTTGGAAACATGACTAATCATTTTGAACATAGGTAACTGAATACTCTCAATTACTACTTGGAAAAATAAGACGTGCATGAATACCAGTGTACATTTCAGTGGTGCATTATTTGTTTCTTAGGTCCCATCAGCTTAGTTGGTGCTGCTGAGACACACAGAAAGGGAAGGGTCCCAGTCTTCTGAATTGTGCAGATTGACTCTTGTTGGATACAGAGAACTGTTACCCGTAGGGGATGTTTAAATGTCAGACTAAACACTGCTACTGTCAAGCCCTCAGTGGGCTGGAAGCTCCAGATGTCAAAGTTCAGTGACACTTGCGGAGGCTTGCTTCGATCACTATTTAATTTCTTGATGCAATAATTTCTGGGGCCGAGTCTTTGGTTGTCTCTGGTAATTAGCTCTGTGTTCTCCTGTGCAGTAGGTAAGTAGTATCTCCATGTTGCAGATTAGGACAGCAGAGTTAATTTGCCACAGTTGCAGTGAGAGCCAACATTGGGATAGGGGAATTCTTGACCTTTTCTACCCCTCAAGGGTCCCCTTGATCATGCAGCATTGCTGAAATTGATGTTTTTCTGCCTCTTGGCTGACTCAGACTGTTCTACTGTGAGTTGAGACATGGAGTAAAAACCTAGTGCTAGCACACTGCATTACTGCACGTGTTGAAGCTAAAATTATCTGTGATTGTTGCATTTCATTGTGCCAGAATTCAGGTGTGCCCACACACACCCCAGTGTCTGATCATTAAGTTTGAGTGATAGAAAAGGGTCTCCCGAGTCTGTATTACTTTGATAAGGCTTTTCTATCATGTCTGTGCTGTTTTTAACTCTTCTCCCTTCTCAAGAAGGATCAAGTTGTGTGGTTCACATGCCTGACTCTCATATTTCTGTCTGGGATTTCCCAGGTAATTGTGCTGGTCCCTTATGTATGATGTCCCATTTGTCCAGGGACCCACAAGACCTCAAATCCCATCTGCATTCAATTTCTAGTCAGAAAGACAGTTTGAGTCTAGGGAAACCTGAACATATGGTAGCCCTGTGGCCATGTGCTAATTCCATCCAGCCCTGAACAGTTTCCAGCTGTGCAGGGAAATGAAGGCAGGTTCCTGGCAGAGTAGGGAACAACCCTCCGGCAGGTGGGGCTGGCAGGACTGTCCTGGCAGTGACCTGCTGGAGCTCTGCACTCTTGAGCATCTCAGGTGGTTGCCCTCCCCTCGTGGGAAGAGGGAGGAGTTGTGTCATTCCAGAATTCCTCCTGGGATAACCCCAGACTATCACATGGTGTGCCTGGTTTGGAGCACATGAGTATCAGTGGCACTGCTTTCAGGGCTGGAGTCCACTGCTCCTGGAGTGCCTACTTGGTAAAT